TTATGAGACCTTTTTTGAGCCTCTTCTGTCCTGGATCTATAAAGCCTCAATCTGAGATCTACCGCATCAGTCCTGGATCTACAAACTGTCCGTCCGTGGAAGTGGATCTCTCCCTCTCGGTTTGGATCTCCCCTGGGTTTCTTAAAGGTTCTCAGTGGCTCGTCGATGAAGGTGGGTCTAAGGACAGTGATAAGGACATTTATATTTATGGCTATTGGTCATCCGCCTTTACCCTATGGACCTATGTGTTATTATTGCTCTTGTTGGCAAATTGAGACAAATATCTTCCAAGATTTCTGCTGTTAAAATTAAATTAACACATAGACACCCGCTCAGTTTTATAATCAGACACCCCAGTGCGTAGTAAGATTTACATATTCCATTTCAATAGACTTTATTCAACAGTTTTGTGGCAAAACAAAGAGGTTACCATTTTAAATTTCAAGCATATATTTTATTAAACACAAAGCTTTTCAGTGCATACGAATGCTCTGCTCCCAGTTAAATCCTGTTATTTGTAGGCCATGTTTACAGAATGACAAAGTATCCCCAGGTGAAAAGCATTACCCACTTTACTTTATTTTCAATTACTTTTCCCCTTCCCAGTCAAGTCAAAATTACCTGTCCTGCTCCTCCAGAGGTAGAGTCCATTTATAATCTTAATGCATGAGGTAAGATATGGTCAGGCATGGGCACTCCAGTCCTGGGACCATAATGGCATCAATCACCATGATGAAGACGGCACATTCAAATGCACAGGGTTTAGAGACAGCATGTAGACCTCTCCTCCTTTCTGGTGTCATTATTTAGCGCAAGGATGCAAGGGTGGCTGGCAGTGTAAAAAGAAGCATTAATCATTGTATGCATGTATGAAAATAATGTCGTGGATGAATGCTTTTGATTAAGAGGATAGCTGTGGGTTGCACTGTACTTGACCTTTGGCTATCACTATACTTTTGTAGAGACTCAATTAATGCACAAGACACTTAACATCCACAGAGGTGTGCTGGCAAGGAAGGTGGACAAGTACAAAACACTGACAGGGAGGTCAATGTTATTCACTCATTGCCATAGTAGCAGGAGGATTACATATGATCATGTAATATCTGCTGTAAAAGTGGTAGCCTACATTGAATCTTAAAGGTTATATTGTTTAATATAACCTTTAGACACAATATCAAAATTCCAAAGTGAATTCTAATAGCACGATGAAAATATTGGTGTCTTCTCTGGTTTTGTACTGGTTCTTCCATCAATCAGACCGACTTCAATCCACGTCCTGATATGATTCACACTTTCACACCTCACCAAAGAGACGCAAACAGCAGAGATGAGATCCTGTGGCATATGGAGCCCGGACATGCACTGGGAACTCCCAGCAGTGTAAACACAGTTCCTCTTTTGCTCTTACACAGCCCTAAGCAAAGCGCTCTGCACCCTGTGCTCCCATAACCAGAGGACACACCAAAGGACACACAATATCTGCCCAAGGTCTAGATTTCATATATACAGTGTGTGTTGATTGCGGGACGACAGTGGCTCAATTGGTAGTTGGCAGAGCATTGTCCTTTGAGCCTGAAGGTCGTGGGTTCGAGGCCATCACAAGACCTTCTCTACCAACTCCAACTGATGTCTGGTGTCATTGTGTCCTTGGGCAAGACACTTAACCCCACCTTCCCTGAAGTCCCCGACAGACTACCCATCCTCCTGTGGACTCACCACCTGCAGGAGGATCAGTGAGGGGCTGGTGCTGTGAATTGGGTGGCAGATGATTGCCACCCGCCTGACCCAGAAATGGACAAAGGGGAAGAAAATGGACGGAGGGATGTGTTGATTGCACTAATGTACATGAGTAGGGCTTTTAAAATCTAATAACAGACGTGTGATTTCACCTGAGAGATGAGGTGAGGTAAGGTATCACAGCAAGGACGAGTCTATCACATCTGTTTTGGACATTATTGTCTCAGAGAGAGAGAGAGAGAGAGAGAGAGAGAGAGAGAGAGAGAGAGAGAGACAAAATGTAGTAACAATGTAGAAGGGTACAACAGGTTTAGATAATTGTGAACAAAATGACTCACTAATCACTTTCCAGGCTAGTAGATGAAGTTCTAAAGTATTCCTTTACTCCACTCACGACACAGCGGTTGTTACTACTATATTGTATTAACAGTTGCCTTGGGCTAATGAAAGCAGTGAGAGCATTAGTCATAAATAAAGCAGTTGTGATATACTCTTGGTAAATTTGTATAAAACTAAAGTTGCTCATGATGTTGGCTCTTATATAATGAGGCTTTTTGAGAGTAACAATTGCACCGGCTCGCTCTCCGTCTATTCTCTTAACAGTGGTGAAAAAATCAATGAGTTTTGCCTGGGGCGCAGACCTTTGCACTAAAAGCTATTGTTCTAAGAAAAGGCAAAGCTGTGTTTCCCTGTTTGTGCATCCCACGCGGTCTGTTGGCTTAACATTTGCTTTGGTTAAGAGCAAAACAAGTTCGTTTCACTTAACGTCACGGTGTTGTCACATACACTCAATACCAGCGATTGTACAATGCAGCATATAACACAGCAGACTGCCCCACACCTAAAGGAATAAAAGAGTAGTGTTTTTGGAGGCGGATAAAGAGCTGCAGTGATATGTGCAGTTTAGTGAGCACCTGAACAGCTGCTCAGAGCCCTGGGAAGTGACTGTGAGGCTAATATAAAGCAGTCAACCAGATGAGACTGCAAGAAATGATGCCCCTGTTGTTTAGATGATGTGCTGAGTCACGTCACTGTTGAAAATCCTGAACAAAGAACAGATCAAAATTCTCAAAAAACACATCATTCTAAGGAAATCAAGGGTAACTAGTGGGACAATAGAGGCCAATCCCAGCAAAGAATCAGGTTGAGAAAGTAAATAGAAACTTGTCAAAACAGGTATAATCAGTGGATGAGTATAGCTACTTCATTTAAGAGATACAACATTTGGTTTTATAATGGTGGTGGGATAAGGAGCAGTAAACAAATCCGACACACTTCCTGAATACTCTTCTGTGGTCATTTTCATTTGGCATTTAAATAAAAGCCTGTGTCATTGTTGGCTGCAGAGGTTTGCAGACCCAGCTGGTCACTCACCAGGGAGAGAATTAAGGTCTAAAAATGGAAGCAATTTTCTTCCAAGATTAGCCTGTGAAAGGAGGAAAATGAAGCTGTGGTTGATAAATATAACCCTTAAACTGACGAGCAATAAGTAGTAAAAGTGTATTTACACTCTGAATTGTAGATACTACCTCAAATAATTATCAAAACAACCACAATAGAAACAACAGAACATCTAAATGACAGTCAAATTCAGCATTCCTCCATGAACACGTGCTTTATTCAGGAACACAGCTATTTCTAATAAAAGGGGTCCATCTGCTGGACAAGGTGTGTATTGGGAGAAAATTCTGCAGTTACAAGGTAGCAATCACAGAGAGATAAATCACAGCTCTTGGACACCCTTTTCTGCTAATAGTTGGTTCTTTCTACTTTTACAGCTTGCCTGCCCTTTCATCTTCAATTCAATAACACGGATAACTGTTTTTTTCCACTCTTCTACCTTCGTACAACACCCATTGTACCCGTATTAAGGTTGCAGTGAGGGATTGGCAGTTTTAAAAAGTTAACATGGCAGAGAGAAACTGTACGAAGGCCAGTGGAGTGCGGCTGTAACACTGTGCAATGTCCAGGTAATTGCTTCTGTCATTTCACTGTTTACCCATCCACATCCAGTATACTTGACACAAAAGTACTAAGCGTATTACACAAAAATGCGATTGAAGCTAGAAAAATAACATTTGTCTATTTCCATATTTATTTAGTACAATTTTCTTTATTATTTGTGTCACTCTTTTATATTCCATATCCATGCCTAATGTAATCACCAGGCAAGCTCATACCACAGCTGTCCCCTTTTAGTCATTTATCCTTTTTTTGCAATGGGCTGTTGCTATATTGGTGATGTGTTAAAAAGAGCAATTCATTAAGGTTATGATGACTGTAGCAATGAAACACAAGGGAACCTCTGAAATCCTATTTTCTAGATAGATAGATACTTTATCCCCTTAGGAGAAATTCAGGTGTCCGGTAGCAGCAAAAATAGAACATAAAATTGATCATTCTAAAAAGCTAAAAATAGTCATAATCAGCAACACCCCTTCAGGTCACAGCAGCAGAGGTGGAGTAGCCTCTGGGTGGAGCAGGACGGGTCAGAGCAGCAGAGGTGGAGAAGGCACTGGGTGGAGCAGGACGGGTCAGAGTAGCAGAGGTGGAGGAGCCTCTGGGTGGAGCAGGACAGGTCAAAAGGTGGTCATTAACTTTTATCAAAAAGTTAGCATTCCTTCAGTGGATTTTTGGCTGATACGCTTGATGCTTAGACCATGAATCCTCTCTGCTCTGGTCTGGACCAGTGCAAAACTATTAACACTGTACTGCAGCAACATCTCAGGTAAAAAAAAAACAAGAAAAAGAAAAATTGTAAAGCAAACAACAACTGTTTCAGATCTACTTAGAGCATGCTGCCATTTTCCAGTGCATTCAAGAGTTAACAGCAAATCTAAGCAGGTATCATTGAATCTGCAGCAATGTGACACATTACAGATATTTCCCCTTCAGAGAAATGTTTATGCCTGTAATATTATAGTATAGTGTACACCTTGGTTGAATAAAATCTATTTGACACCTGTGATATTAATTATAAAGAAGATGCTGTGTGTTTGTTATATGAGGTTATGTCAGTGTATATGTGTGCTGTATTCTGTCTGTAATGTTTTTTTGTTTAAATAATAAATAAATAAATAAATCTCAAAACAAAAAAAACAAAAAAAATGTTGATAAGAGACCATGGCATAGACAACAAATACATATTTAAACAATATTTACTCATTCAACAACTAACTAAGCATGAACAAGTAATACAGTATTTGAACACATTTTTTCCCAACATTTACATCATATTAACACCCATTTACAAACACTTTTCAAAAATGGGAGTTGATCTCAGCGGTAGAGATACTTAAGTCTAATCCAGTGACTACATAAGAATCTCGCTCTGCATCATGGACAAGATGAAAGTTCACTTGGCCCACCTCGTCCCTGAAGTGGATGGTGAAATGGTCCCCTGTGTAGTCGTAGTCAACGTGAGCCGACTGATCTGGCTTTAGACAAACTACGGCGCTGACACACCACAGAGGGTTCCCCAATTTTTGCCATAAAGTGAATGTCATGAAGCAGCAATCCTAGAACAACACACAAACACAAGAATTGGGTTTTTTGTATTAGGCCTGTGTCATTGTGGTCCCTGTTATAAGCACCACAATATCAAAATAAAATCCATGGTGCTCGACTGCAAAAAAGTGCCTTGTCCTCTCCTGGTGGTGGACCGGTCCAGTAGTATTTCAGGGTTAGGTGAGATTGATGTGTGTGTGTGCAGTCAGAGCTGTATCGGACTGTTCTGGTGAAGGAGAAGCTGAGGAAAAGCTCTCAATCAATGAACCAATCAATCTACGAACATGGGCTTTGGGTAAGGACTGAAAGGACGACAACGTAGCAACAAGCAGTCGATATGAGCGTAAATAAATACTACTTATTCAATAAAGAGCCATCGACCGGGTACACAATTACTTACTTTTTTACTTCTACATGGAAAAATAAGGTCTAAGAGGCTTGATGAATATGATGCTCAATCAAGACTTAAACTACTGTTCCATTATAAGAGTGTCAAACGTTCACTACATTTCTTTAAAGGGTTAAAGGGAACCAAAAACAGATGCGTTGTGCAATTCCCTTCAGATACATTCTTCTAATACAGGGTGCTTGCTCTTTTTCCAAATTAAAATCCCAGACTTTTTTTAAACTGATATTTTTTTCCCAAGACCTTAACTTTATTTCAAAAACATGCAACAACCCATTTGTGTTGACCACTAGGCTAGCTATGTGTCAATAGACCTCAGCAGTGACATCACAAACATGTGCCAGACCAGGCTAAGCAAGCGTTGATTGGATCATTCATTCCATTAGACTAATACAGTACATGAACAGTTGGTCAAATTATAGTTGTATAGCCTACCTTTCTATTTCTCCTTTCACAATGCCTTTGAGCAAACTTTAAAATTCGGCCATACCTGTTTCCCTCATACTTTATTAAGACTTTCTCACAAAATTCAGGACTTTTCAAAATGTCATACTTATTAAGACTTTCAAGACTTGTGCAAGCACCCTGCAAACAAAAGCATGTCATTGTAATGTTTTTGGAAATCAAACAAATCATTTAATTTCCTCAAAAAACATTTCTGTGGCAGAATAAACATCCAGTCCTGTACAGTATGTTAAAGACAATGCTGATGTACAATTTTAACTCTTCGCAGTGACAGTTTCTAATCCTCTTCCCTAACTCTGGCCAAAGTGTGTGTGTTCCTGTGTGTGTGTGTGTGTATGTGTGTGTTCCTGGGTGTGTGTGTGTGTGTGAGTGTGTGTGTATTCTTGTGGATGAGTGCATCAGTAGTACCTGCACAACTCCATCCAGAACATCTGCCGTCCAGGGGAGGGACACACTTTCAGACAAACAGTATTTTGTGGACCTGTGGTTAATGACATCCATGTTAAGTTGCCCGTCCTGAATCGTACCTCCACAAAACAAACACGCATCACGTTACAGAACAACAACAAAAAACAGCGATGAAGCAACTTTGGATTCATATATTTTAAATTACCTCCGCGGAAGAATAGGTCATTGAACTTCTCAGACAAAAGCGTGCTCTCGCTGTTATGTAAACTGATGTGTAGTTGGTAGCCATGGAGATAAAAATCTGAATTCATATAGAATGGAATATTCTTGGTCGCAGGTTCACCGACAGGACTGGGGATCAAAACACATCCAAAATTCAACACGGAATATGGTGAACATTTAATTGTAATTGAAGATGGCAGTAAAAAATACAATACAAATTTCATTAGATACATTCTGTGTTGATGTATTCTAACAAGTCACCAGTAGAGGGAGGCATGTCCACACTGCACTGAAGAATCATTTCACAAAGAAAGTAATAGAATTGAAAGAAATGTTTTATTCATTTATCTATTTATTTATATCTATTTATTTATTTGAACAGTATTAATACTGCACAAAAGGAGTGGGCTGCAGCAGAAATGTTAAAATCTTTATTTATAAAAAAAAAAAGAAAAAAAAGTGGCACAATGAATTACATCAGAGGCATTCAATTGTTCTGATGTTTTATGCATTGTTATAATATGACACTACAGACTATTCGTATAATCCACTTTTCACAATATTTTGCTGTGTTTGTAAATGCGCAATGCTGAACACCTAAATGGAGCTAGTAAATTATGCACTTATTCCTCCACCAATCGGTTGCAATCCTTGTAAATACAGTGTTAGTGTGTGAGGTTTGCCTGGAATGAGTGAGTGACCGGTCACACACTGGACAGAGGAGAGTGATTCAGCGCTGTGGCCTACCGGACTGACGACCCCTGGGTGCACCTCTCCAGCAGCTGGTTCTTGTGAAGAGTAAACATGACGAAGGCAATGGAGCGCTGGTCCTAAAGAGGAAAATACTTGAATATTTTGATTACACATGTTACTGAAATTGAAAATGACTCACTTTCCAGAGGCCCACAACAACATCAGACTGTAAAAGCTTCAGTTCCACTAGTTTGTCTTGACCGATGTGCTGAGTGCTTTTGGAAACAGCGGCCATGTCTATATTCATCATCAGGGATCTCTGTGCTGGTCTGCCAAAACAAACAGGATGGGAGCATTTTACAACACAATAAGTAAAGTGTGTGCGTACGTTTGAGACTGAGCAGGACTTACTGTTCTAGGCCAGTGCGACGGAAGGCTATTTTCCGGATACCCACGAGCTGAAGAGCAGAGATTTGCTGGAAGTCAGGGAAAGGGCCGGCACAACACAACGTCACAGAGCTCTTAGAAGACATGAGCGAGATCAAGTTCAAGTCCAATGTCCTCTGCTGTTTGGACGGTTCTACCACAATCAGCTCCCAGGTGACAGCAAGCTCACTGTCCCAAAGAGAAAGATAAATATTCATCCAAGAATTTCACCAGGGTTAAATTGTGACATAATCAAACTTGTAGAAAGGAAGAGGATTATTTAGAAATGTCATCTCGTGTGAAGCCATAACAACATACAGTATGCATCTAACTGTATCCAGGAGATTGTTGCATATACACTGCAACAACCAGACATAATTTGTTACACAACACAACAAATGCTACACAAAGATGCACACAGCTAGCAGTAAATCCAAAACTTCATCTCTTTTGTTTTTCTAGTGTCATTTTGTATCTCCGTAACACAGCATATATGTATCATGCTTTTGTCCAGATAGAGCAGAATGCAATTATTCCATCATGACCCAGGAAGACAGCTGACTGAAACTTTTCAGAGAGCCGCCAAAATAATACAACTTAAAATCAACTCATGCGCAGCGGCAGAAGACAGTGTTTATCTCAAATAGTTTTGTGAAATGAAACATGTATTGGGCTTTTTCACACTAAAGAGTACAAAAGTGTTACAAAAAGCCAAACATTTTATTTTAATAACTTATGTTGTGTTAGCCATGTTAATCTTGTGGTCACAGTAGAATTATTAAATCAGAGGCTGATTTGGTAGTTTAAAATTTCGCCAAAAATGTTTTTGTCAATCTATTCTTTTGATTTAATCTACACAATCTCTTTCATGCCTCTGTGTTTGAAATCTTTTTCTCTAACCCATAATAGTAATTTTATTTGAGTTACAACCTTTTAAAGTCCAGATACTTTAATTGTCACTTTACTTTGAACACACCCACACACACATGTTTTGATTGTTATTGAAAGAATTACTAAATCAAGAAGGGGTGAAACTTTGTTGGTATGGCACTAAAATATATCTGGCGTTTCAAATAAACACTTGTTAAAGGGCAAAAGAGCTTTTCAATTTATTTGTTTTTCTAATGGTACTTGCCTTTTTTTTGTATCTTATTCAAATAGAGTGAAAAAATCTGTATTTTTGTTGTTGAAATTATCTTCCCACCTTAGAGACTGGCATCCCCTTTGAGAGCCAACTGCTACATATTTATTTGAGCCCTCATATGGAAGGAAACATACTGGCACCTTCAAATACTTTTTATATGGATCGGTGTTAAAAATCTTGAAAGTGCATCACAGTCATCTAACTCACACCCTATGAAAACCACAAAAACAAACAACAAGAGCAAAAGTCGGAGTCTGAAATCACAATTCAGGGTCATTCGATCTTTCGCTATAGTAACAGAGCGGTCAGGCCCCCATCCCATATCAATTAGACTTGGATCTGTCGGTGAGGGCTGGATTAGCAGCGGAATCGGACACCTCTGAGTGTGAGAGAGGGCTGTCTGCTGAAATGATTATCACTGAGGTAAATCAGGTGCACCTGTGTGTATTCAACAGACAAAACCCCATGGGGACACGTCTCTGGAGGGAGGGAAGTATGGGGGAAGACTGGGAAGTAATAGCTGCATGTGCGTACGTGTTATTCGGTAGATTTGGGCTAGAGGTGCTAAGTAATTTATTTCAACAATTCACACTGCCTCAGCAAGGAACACAATTATTTTTGCCTTCCTCTCAGTAACTGCGGTGGATATGGGAAGCTCCAAAATTGAGTGCTGCACAGCTTCTAATCAGAGGTTATGAAAACAGGGCCGACTCGGCAGTGAAGAAAGGCGAGGAGCTTTCCCCACGCACACAGCATCCCCCCAGAGCGGACCTCACTTCCCAGACGCATACCTTTACTCTCACCTTTAATAACAGTGTTATAAAAAGGAAACGGAGAAAGCGCTGTAAGAACTGCTTTTTCTGTTTGATTTTATGAAGCGCCGGCTGTCGTTCTAAAGTAGTTTCGCAGCTTTCTCGACGGTATAAGGCTTTAATAAAGTTTAGCGATATGTTTAGAGAGAAATGCGTTCGGGATTCCCGGGATACTTTTGCACCTGACTGCTTCCGATTGTTCAAAGCATGCAAAACAGATGGCGGTCGCGGTATACACTGTAGTCTGTGGAGTATGCGATGTGGACCAAAACGTCAAAAGGGAACGCCTAGACAGAAAAATGGAGTTTGCAGTTAGAATATAAACAGCCTAAGAACCTCGCTTTTATAGACACGACTGTAATCTTGAGTTGACTTATGGGGTGGACCAAAAGGAAGTTCACACAGAAAATAGAAAAGATGTATCCACTACAATAATAATAATACAAATAATGCATTGGTTGTATATAGCGCTTTTTTGGACACTCAACATTTTGAACGCTTCACATATCATGATTCTTTCACTCCAATCACAGTGGTGATAAACTGCCCTGGGGCACACAGACAGAAGTGAGGCCACCAGTATGTGCCATCGGCCACTCTGGGTTTGTATCCTGGTCGGAACAGGGTCTTTCTGAGTGGTTCTCCAGTTTCCCCTACCACTCCCGGGCACTGCTCCTGACCTAAGCCTATGGGTCAAATGCAAAAGCTGAATTGCACCGTTACCTTTACAACTGTAATCTTGAGTTCAACAAAAACGGGTCACTATCATGTTGCATGCCAAATGTAAGTAAGTAATCTTTATGTATATAGCGCGTTTTACAGACCAAAGTCACCACCAAAGCACTTTACAAGAGAGCTCAGATATTTTTTCGTTCCCTCCACACAGCGAGGACTGAAAGTGAGACGCCAGACACACTGGTGCATCAAGACCTCTGACCAAACACCATCCATTCACTCACTCATTACATTCAGACCTATTGTAAATGTTTTTAGTGGTAGGAGAAACCGGAGTGTCTGGAGTAAACCTACGCAGACACAGGGAGAACGTGCAAACTCCACATAGAAAAGCCTGGAGGTGGAATCAAACCCAGCTCTAACCGCTGCGCCACCATATCACCCATGTGTTTGTGTTGGTTTCTTACCGTAGTACTTTTCCTGTACTCTGAGGCAGACCAGTATGAAGGCTGACAGGGTGTAACTTTTTTCTCCACTTTTGCATGTCAGTTTCAGCCCCTGCTTTGAAATACAGCCTCTTCCAATGACCAACACCCAAATCCTCGAGACCAGCAGTCTGCTCCAACAGTGTCCGCATATACTTAGACTTTCGGCCTTTATTACAGAATTCCTCCTGGAAGATCTTATGCCACATAGAACTGCAGGCACACAATAAACAGTTGGTTAGCTACGAGATGGAAGAGTGTTATTAAGTATCATCAAACACTCACTTGTCACTGGCCAGTTTGTAGAAGCGACTGCTGACGTGGCTCAGTGTGTAAAGTGCAGCGATATCGAGGTATGACAGGATCTTCATGAGGATCTCTGGAGGTAAACTGGAGTGATTAAGACAAGACTGTGAACAATAGCAAAGCTACTGGAGTCTCCACCCTGGAGCTTCCAAGTATCTCCCCACAGGATTTAGACATGCTGCTGCCGATTATCTCAATTTCATATTGTGATTCACGAGCCATTCACAAACTATACTGGAAATGCAGGCTTTAGCTTTATGCACAAATGAATCATTAGTTATAGAGTTATGGGTGTGTAACTGTAGCCCATTAAAGGCTTCACTGCAAAGAAAATGCAAACTATAAATATGCTAACAATTGCTTGAATGAGGGTTATTTTTGCAGAAAACATTATTTGCAAATGAAACAAGCAAATGTACTCTTATTTCACGCGTTTTCCTTTTCACTTGTTTAATTGGAAAACGTATTTTTGAAGTCCAAATATATTAGTTAGTCATACTATGCAATAAAAAAAAATCCAGTCTGATTCATGATTGCAATTTTGCACACCATTATTTTGACCTAGGGTTTTTTTCTTTTAGCACTCACAGACACCGTGCAATAATAAGGAATATGCAATTAAACTATCGTGATGTCTGTATGTGGGGTAATACATAGCTATAGATACAATAACGTCAAAGATGAGAAAACAGGACGTTACTTTTCAATGAAGTTCCGAGAGCCTTGTGTTGGGGAGGGTCTGTGCGCTGTCCTCGGTTTCCTGAAGGTCCTCACGTTTGGCATCGAAACTACTGTCTTTGGTGAAGCCATGTCCCACATTCACTCACGAACTATGGCTCACGCAAACATCCAAAGAAGTTCGGTGTTCTGGTTTCTCTTCGGTTTCTGTGTCTATTACAGCGGACAGATTAACTTGGTTTAAAGTAGACGCTACACACCACCGCGGCTTTCGGTTTCGCTGCGACTGTTGCCATGGAGATATTTGTTTAACTTCCGGTCGAAAAATAAATAAATACATAAAACAAACCTGTTGATTTTCTATTCTTGGTTTAACGTCGGTGTTTGCTTGACGCTGATACTCTTAGTAGTAAGTAATCCGGCTTTTATCTTCGATGCATGCTAAAACTGGTTAATATAAATACAACATAGCAAAACAAATGCTAAGAGATGCAAGTAAACAGTGTGTTACCATGGTAACCGGCACACCAAGCAGAGATTGCTCAGAACCGATTGAGATAATGTGATATACATAATTATACTTAAATAAACTACATAAACAGTATAAGTAAATAAGTAAGTAAGTAATCTTTATTCATATACCGCCTTTCACAGACCAGAGTCACAAAGCGGTTTACAATTGTTAAGTCCCAAAACTATAATGCATAAAATCCTACAAGTGGAGTAATTAAACTTCCCATAGAAAACCTGTCAAATTTTGTAAAAAGGAGATAGATAATCAATGAAAATGAAATAGAAAGAGTAAATCATATCAAATTCCTCGGAATAATTATTGTTTCCAAATGATCAGGGAGTGGAAAGCAGGTCTCCGAAACTATACTTTAAGAATGCCCTTCGCAGGGCTCGAACTCAATACTATTCAACTTTAATAGAAGCGAATAAAAATAACAGTAGATTTTTGTTTAGCACCGTCGCTAAACTCACAAACTGCCATAGCGCAATCGAGCCTAAAATTCCAAGCTCACTGAGCAGTGCCGACTTTCTCCACTTCTTTAATAATGAAATTACATCCATCCGTGACAAACTGGAGGAGGTTACTCCTGCTGTTGGTAGTGGACAGGCTGAAGCGGCATACGTGACTTCCCACTTAGACTCTTCAGTGGGCCTCGATAAATTCATGGCTGTGAGCCAAGCAGAGGTGATCTCTGTGGTCACATCCTCAAAAGCCTCAACTTGCATGTTAGACGCAGTCCCGACATGGCTCTTCAAAGACATACTTCCTTTGATAATTGAGCCTATCGTAAATATAATAAACGCATCCATACAATGTGGCTATGTCCCACAAGCTTTTAAAACCGCGGTTATCAAACCCCTTCTGAAGAAAACAAACCTGGACCCAGAAATACTTACAAAACTACAGACCGATCTCAAACCTCACTTTTATATCTAAAATCCTGGAAAAACTTATAGCTGAGCAGCTTCGCTGCCACCTGCAGGAAAATAATATGTTTGAAGTCTTTCAATCAGGATTCAGAGCTCATCATAGCACTGAAACGGCACTAGTCAAAGTCACAAATGACTTACTACTAGCTGCTGATAATGGACAAGTGTCAGTGCTGGTCCTACTGGACCTTAGTGCTGCATTTGACACAATAGACCACAGCATTCTACTGCAGAGGCTAGAATGTGATATAGGTCTTAGAGGAACAGCTCTTGGCTGGTTTAAATCCTATTTATCAGATCGGTATCACTTCGTCAAACGTAAATCAGAACTCGTCACCTTATTCTGGAGTAGAATTCGGTGTGCCGCAGGGTTCGGTACTCGGACCGATTCTTTTTACTCTCTACATGCTGCCATTAGGAAACATTATTAAAAAGCATGGAATTAATTTCCACTGCTATGCAGATGACACACAGCTTTATTTGTCGATGAAGCCAAATCAGATGGATCAGCTGGAAAAGCTCAGTGCCTGCATAAAGGACCTTAAAATGTGGATGACTCTTAACTTCCTACTTCTCAACCCGGAGAAGACAGAAGTGATCCTACTCGGTCCGAAGCGCCTGCGTGACTCCCTCGCTAACCAGATAATTACTCTCGATGGTGTCAGTATAATACCCAGTGACACTGTGAGGAATCTTGGAGTCATTTTTGACCAAGAGCTCTCCTTCAAGGCTTATATAAGCCAAGCAACTAAAACGGCGTACTTCCACCTACGGAACATCGCTAAAATTAGGAATTTCCTTCCTAAAAGTGACGCGGAAAAACTCATTCACGCGTTTGTCACCTCAAGGCTCGACTACTGTAACGCTTTACTGGCAGCGTGCCCTAAAGCGTCCTTGAAGAGCTTCCAGCTCGTTCAGAATACAGCAGCTAGGGAGCACATAACTCCGGTGTTAAAATCACTCCACTGGCTCCCTGTGGAGTACAGAATAAAGTTTAAAATCCTTCTCTTAACATATAAAGCCATAAATGGCTTGGCTCCTTCTTATCTCCAAGACACGTTAGTGTCGTATCAACCAAGTTGAGCGTTGCGCTCACAAAACGCCAGACGTCTGGTGGTTCCTAAGGTCTCAAAAATCACTGTTGGTGGCAGAGCATTTAGCTACCAAGCTCCTTTACTGTGGAATCAGCTTCCCATTTATGTTAAGGAAGCAGATACGGTCTCCACATTCAAGGCCAGGCTTAAAGCACTTTACTTTAATTTAGCATATAATTAGGTAATATATAATATATGGTGTATATATTATATATGTATGCTGTATTATGTTATATATTATACAATAATGTATTGTGTTATGTTGTATATTATGTTATATATTATGCTGTATGTTATGTTGTGTATTATTTATGATATATATGGTATGTATGGTATATATGATGTATATGATATATAATATATAATTAGGTTTGCTTGGATCGGATTGCACACCTGGTGTGCAATCCATGAATCTCTTTATTCAAGGCTAGGTTTAAAACAGTCCTCTTTAGTTTAGCATATGGCTAGGTAAGACTCAGGGAAGGCTAAACTCCTCAGAGTGTCAGTCAAGCTGCATAGGGAGTCAGTTTGCTGGGAGAAGTATGGTAACTTGAGCACTATCCTCTCCTCCTTCCTACTTTATCTGTTTAGCACTTTTAGGATTCTGACTGTAGTTTGTTCATTGCTATTCACCCGTTGTCCCATTGTCTGTTTCATGGTACGATGACGGGATCTCTGAGCCTGGCCTCCTCCATCTGCACCTGCGGACTGCCCCGCCCGACCCGCCTGGGAGTGCTTCGGTCCTGCACCGGACCTGTCCACGTTCAGCGGCCACTGGTCCACTTCCTGTAGCTAGCTTAGGTCCTGGATCATTAGCCTGTCCGTCCGTCCGGAGGAGCGGATCCCTTTCTCATATGGGTCTCCCTCCCTGTGGGTTTCCCTAGTGCTCCCCAAGGTTTCTCACTTTTTCCCACTGGGTTTTTTAAGAGCTTTTCCTTGTCGATGCAGGAGGGTCTTGTTGGACAGTTAGTGTCCAACAGAAAGGATTGGTGATGATCAGGACACTTTAGCATTCTACAACATGTATGGACATTTTCTTCTGTGTGTGCTTTATATTCTCCATGTGTTTTAACTGTTGATTCTCTGACCTGTGTTGGTGATTTCAATGGTTTTGTTAAGTCCTCTGAGATGACTTCTGTTGTGACCTAGGGCTATACAAGAATAAATTGTATTGTAATTGTATTGTATTGTATCATGGCATATTCTAAATGTTCAAATGAAAGTGTCAAAAACTATAGCAATTCTATACAAATTGAAATATATTTTGAACAAGAAAGCTTTGCATTTACTTTATTGTTCTCTCATCACCCCATACATAATTTATGGCATTGAGATTTGGGGAAATACGTATAGAAACAAAACTAATTATATTTTTTTGTTGCAAAAAAGGCCATTAGACTGATCAATTGTGCGCCATATGACTCTCCAAGTAATTTATTGTTTATTCATTCACAAATACTGAAGTTCTATGACTTGGTTGACCTATATACGGCTAAGTTCATGTATGGAGTTAAACATAAAAAAATCCCTCAGTCTTTACAGGTCTTGTTTACTGAAAGGCAATGTCAATATAATTTGAGGGGAGTTTGTATGTTTGATATAGCACTTGTAAGAACGACTTTAAGGGAACATTGTTTATCCAGTAAAGGTGTGAAATTATGGAACAGTTGCTGCGATGAGCTAAAAGGTGCTACTTCTCTGTTTCAGTTTTTTTTTTAATTCAAGGAAAGAATGATGGAAAAATATATGACAGTGTAACAATCGGAAACGTGTTTTGTATCTTGTTTAGTGTGATTAATTACAATATGGATGTTTGTTAATGTGCTGAATTTGATTTAATAAGGTCGATTAGGGGCATGCACAATAAGCTTTGGCTTCAGCCTGTGGCTGGTCATGCACAGACTAATGCATGTTATTGTGTTTGTTTTAAACTGGATTTAAACTGAAATGACTGTGAATGACCAAATTACATTAAATTAATATAAAAATTAAATTGACTACTTTGGAAGTTCTTGTGTTAATGTGCAAGGTTTCATGACATCAGACTTGTAACGTTTTTGGCAAAGGCGAAAATCCAAGAGCAAATCTTCATAGAGAGATCTTTCTAAAGTATTCAGGACAAAAAAATAAAAAATCATAACGAAGCAGCTAAGAGGAGAGAAGTGCAGGGTCACACACTGACCTCTGCAGCAGAAAGATGCTGATGCATTTGAATGTGAGCACAGCAGATGGACAGTCGTACAGATGGACAGACAGAATGGACATATGGTCATTCAGCACACTCTGGGGGATGAACTGTATTTGATCTTACTTGGTGAATTTCTCCAATCACTGGGCAGAGTAAAACCAACACAAATCTACCTAGTGTTGGAATCAACACAAAATAAGCTGAATATCATTTGACAAACATACAAAAGGAGGAACTTTAGTAGTATGAGTATGAGTAGTAGGAATCCCCAGCGTTATGTTGACTCATTTTAAAGCCATGGCTTGCTGCCTGTGAGAGGACGTCTCTATGTAGTTGTCAGTTCACAATCAGCTTTATTCAAGTAAACTCTTTTTAGGGCA